TCTGGGGTCATGTGCCAGTTGTAACCTACTGAATTGTACATTCACAAAGTATTGATGAAAGGTTGAAGAATATTTCAGCTCAATGCACCACTAATGAGTTCCTCTAGACGAGCCGGAGCACTGCAGTGCTTTCAGTTAGATGTAATCAAGCTAACGAGCCACCTGTTTTAAAACCCACGTTGCTGTTACACTTCAGGGTTTTTTGATGTTTTAACAAATTAGGGGTCTGTAAATTGGACTAGTCGCAATCCTTATGCTCAGTCTTGTTCAACAGGTTAGGTTTTGAAAAGCCCACCCAAATCTAACTGTAAATCACTCAGCCCACTATCTCCCAACCACAGCGATAGCAGAGATCTGTAAAACGACTGGTGGGTAAACAGCAAACCTGGAGTGACTGAAGCTACAAGAGGGGCCCCACACCAGTGGCCTCTTCTGCATGTTGTGTTTGGCTTAGGACCTTTCTGTATTTTGCACTGACAAGTGGAGGAGGAACCTCCTCACTGACAACCTGAATGTCCTTCCCGCGGCATTGCAACTGCTGTTTTGGACGCAGCCTCCAGCAAAAGGAGCCCATGGGCAGGCAGGGACGCACCGTGCTCTCTTGGCATCCTGAACTTTGTTCGCTGCTTGTTTGTTTCTCACAAAGCAAGTCAGCCTGACCTAAAGTAGATGGCTGTTCTTTGCTTACCTCTAAAGTGAAAGCTTTCATTTGAAGAAAATAACCCCTAAATATGAAAAATAAGGATCCAATAGCAAGGTCCTACAGGCAGGGTTTTCTGTAAGCTCCTTACAGTGACAGATTCCAAAACTTGCCACTACATCAACATCCTTCTGTACATAAAGATAAGACATAATTTCCTTGTTATTCTTGATGATACTGAACAACAGAGAACTTTTTTCTCCTGCGCCCATCAGACATGCTGCCAGCAGCAGCAGCATTGCACCTATTTAACTGTCCCTTATGCAGAAGGATTTTTGCCCATACCTTCTCCCAATAGGCTGAATTACTCCCTTACTCTTCCTCTAGGGCTCATCAGGGATAGGTGACTGTTTCCTCTCTCCCATCCTTCCTGCGGTTTAAGAATGCAGCATGAAACCTGTCTTTCAAGAACAGCAAAGGATATGAGGTTTATAAAGAACACCTGCTGAGTAATAGATTTACTTCCCCCAAAATAGGAGCAAATTAACAAATAAATTGATTTCTAAGACAGGCTGTCTTTGAATTTTAACACCATAAATGCTGATTTCCAGTAATAGCTGTTTCATCAATCACATTCCCAGTCCTACAGTTCTCACATTGCCAGAATAATCTGTGACTAAATTCATCAATTGTTTCTGAGACTAATGCTTTGGCAAGTTTGGTACATTCTGTATGCCTGTTGCCTTATTCCTATATAGGAATAAGCTAGAGGCCAGCTTTTACTTCTACTCAGATCCATCTTCTGATTGGGATCTTGCAGATCACCTTGTTTTGGCAGCTGTTGTGCTTGAATTCCTTTCCCCAGGCAGTATATATGCACTTAGTTCCAGACTTACAATTACTCCTATAATTTGCTGTGCCAACAAAATTATAACCACTGTAAACAGTCCACATGGTGATTATATATTACAAAGCAAGCTGCATGTTAAGCCACATATTTAATTCAGAACCAAAGGCTGCGTTACACCTGAAAGACATTCAAATCCTTTCGCTGACAATTACCAGTATTAGTCTTTTTTATGGTGTGCCTCAGCTTAATTTGACATTACCTTTTGTGTTTTGAAAAAAAAAAAAATCAAGACAGCATTTTATACTTCCATGTGCACATCCAAAAGGCACCCTGCTTTTGACTCACACATCTCTCACATCCATAGCATGAGTGGGAGTATAAAGGAATGTCAGCTGAACACCGGCCTGGCACTGATATGAAGCAAGGGTGTGATTGTCTGCCTGCTAAACGTAGTGGTGGTGGTGATTGTGCCCATTACTGAGCAAGGTGACAGCACTAATAAAGGGATTTTCATCTCAGCCCTGCTGCAAACATCCAGCTGCTGCCATGTAAATGAGCAACTCAGTTTTGCAGTCACCTAAGACAGCCTGGAAGAGTGTGGGTAACTTTAAATAGGTGAATGATCATCTAGGTAAACTTTTGAAAAGTTTATCACATCTAATTTGGGCCTAGGAAGGGTAACATTAGAACTGCAGACAAAAAAAACACTACCTAAAGTAAATACAATAGGAAATATTAGCTGCTGCTTAAGTTTATCCCATACAAAACCTGAGAAACCAGTTCTTCCATGAAGATAAACATGTTTTGGACTCATACTGGCAGCATGTATTAAAGTGGGGTGGGTTTTTTTGTGGAGGTTTTTTTAAGTTTCCTATAGCAAGCTAGCGAAAAGCATGTATACATGTATCTCTATCCTTCTGTCCCTATGAGCTGAGCCATGCTAATGGATTACCTGAGCACTTCTAATCCTTTTCAGTGCGTATTATTGTGAACCGTTTATGTTGAACCACTACAGAACAGAGTTTTACCTTAGCTAGTTTATTTTGCACTGGCAAAAGAAGCAGGAGTGCTCGCGTGACCTACTGCTTCAGCTCAGTGTGGGAGCTATCGCCGTCCCAGCGTCTCCCTGTGGAACAGCAGTGCTGAGACCCTGATCCTGCCCACCTTGCTGTCTTCTTGAGAAGGTGACTCCTTGGTAGCCGTATGTGCATCAGGAATAAGCACAAACAAGACCCTGTAGGATGCTCAGACAGAAGGCTTGCTGCCAAAGCAAACACACATTTGTTTGCAGGCTCCAGCTCAGAGTCACTGTGAAACATCTCTCCTCCTCCCCGTATGCCCACTGGCTGGGAGAGCCAACTTCTGATTAGAGGCAGTTGTGAAACTGCTGATAAACTGTTCTTCACCACAGTTTGTGGCAACAGAAAGTTTTAACAAAATGATCTGTTTTGTCCAAAGCTTTCGCTTGAGTTTTCTCACTCTGGGGTGGAATTGCTTATCAGAAGACACAGTCCTCTCCAACACAGCCACTCAGCTGAGGCCTCCTCTAGTGTATAGGCTCAAGAGTGTCCTAACTACCAACACTGGAGAAGAGACCTACGCCACTGATGCTCCACTTGGCCCAAAAAAAAACATTACATTGGTGGAATTTTGGCATCCAGTCCCTGTGCTGTCCTGCTTCGGAGCCAGCACTGAAACCCAAGTCTGCTGTCATCCAGCTTAGTGCCCTGGCTACTGGCTGAAGAACTGAAGAAAGGGTGACTTCCCTCTTTCTGCTTTCTTGAGGAAAGTAAATACATTTACAATAAATTGTTTGTCTCAGTGTGGGCTGAGAACATCTTTTGATCTATTTTTTCACAAGCCAAGGAGGGGAAAAAGAAAAAAAAAGGTTTCCTGCTTGGTTGTTACTTCTGATGATGTAGCTTCTAAAATTCACCCAGGACTGGTGGGCTTGTAAACCTCTGGTTTGCAACAGCAGCTGAACCAGGGTTGACAATGAGCAAAGAGTACCTATGTTCACAGCATTCAACAGCCCTCCAGCTCCTCACCAGGCTTAATGAAGTGTAATGAAAGGAAATTAATGAGCTTTGTCCCCATTACCAAAGGAAAGGGCAGCTGGAAATATGCAGGGACCCAATATGTATTGAGCATGATTAAGTATGTTATAACTATTGTTCTGAATAAAATGGTGCTGTTTATACCTAAATAGCCTACAGCAGTCCCTTGTCATTACAGCCATTTAGCTGGCTCTGCTTTAATTGCCTCTGAAAGCCATCCAGAAAGGATTTCTTTTACGCTCTTTCCAATTTAAAACAAGGGACAGAAATATGTAAGCACTAACCTGCATCCATTTAGATAATGGGCATTCGGTGCGTGAGCCAGGAAGATAGATATTTTATAGGGAACTGCTTGGTACTTGACATGCAGGGTGATGGGACTGTGGTGTGTGTGGGCACAGCTGCCGCTGGAGGACGGCTGCCGCTGGAGGACGGCTGCCAGAGCCTGCGGGGTGGGCTACAGAGCTCCAGGGTTAGTCACGGGCTACACCACCCACCTCCCCCAGTTTGGGTCCGGGCAGGCAGCTGCAGCAGAGAGAGCAGGCACCAGGAGGTGCCCGATCCCAACCTAAAGGCACACCCAGGGCCGGAGGGGAGGCACCATGTCCCCGCCCCCTCCTGGCTCCAAGCAGGCTCCCCCCAGCACCCAGCTCCTCTCCCCGTGGGGACTGCCATTAGCCACAGAGGGTTCAGTAGACAGCAATGCTCCATGAGCATTTGTTTATCAGAACAGGCCTCTCCATCTCTAACACCTGCAATTCTGTGCTATGTAAAAGGCAGGGGTGCCCTTAGTACAAGCCCTTGTGATGGCAAGCATTCCCTTATCTCGGGCAGCACTACCTCACGCTCCACAGACTGCGGCTTATTTGCTCCACGCTGCTAAATTCCACCATCACTTTACCTGTCTCCTCCTTCACTGTTGCCACATTTGCCTGGACAAAACTGCCATTGCACCACGATGGGGGAAGCACTCCCTGACTTTTTCTGTCCCAAGCATAAACTCCAGCTCACACAGGACTGAGTCTTTGGCTTGGCTCACAGCAGTAACATGGCAACAGCTCAACCCTGGAGATAACTTCAATAAAATGTATTTGAAAGAAAGAGAGCAAAACCACATCACAGAACATCGCAGCATCCTTGACCCTGTTGCACAAGGAGCTGCACAGGTGCTGAGGTACAGCCCTTCATGCACACAGACCAACAGAACTGTGATGCAGGGAAGTCACCAGGATGCTCTGCAGCACTTGGAAAAGCTTCTTCTCCCAGCACAAGACACAGGATACCCAATATCAAAGCACATTGCCTGGGGTGCTGAGAGCAGAAGGATGTGTCACAGCAAGGCTGATGGTGAGGGCACAGCTGATGGTCCTTGATGGAGTTCTCACGCTGTGACATGTACTGCCCTGAATTTGCATATGTCCAATTACTCTTCAAAAAAACAGCAATCCACATTTAAATTAACATTCTCTTCTGTATTCTTAATTGATTCACAAAAATGAAAAGATTATGTTCCCCCTTCAGATTAATTACTTTAAAGGCTCACAGTTTCTTGGAGACAATTCCCAACTCAGCTCTGGCAATGGAGCAAGACTGGAATCTGGCCTAAGCTAGTCTGCTGAGAAAGACCAAGTGGAGTTGTTCTGGAGAGAAGAAAGTAGGGGAAATGTCTCCTCTCTTTCTTGGAGGAGTATTTTAGGACTTTACTTTTGTTGCTTGTTTTCAGTCAGTTCAAAAGGTCCTCAGATCTCTCTTGGACGGACTTTTTCTTTACAGAGTACTGAGGAGGATATATGAAGAGGTCAGGACTCCAGCTTTCCCTCCTTAGCTTCTAGAAGTACAGTGTACAAACGAAATGATGCCCCAAAAATCTTTGCTGTGGACAACAATCCAGCCTCTGCTCCAAGCACACAGCCCAAAGTTTGTACATGGCTTTTATAGCCCCAAATTCTTTTTAGACATGAGTTTGAATCCGTCATCCAGGATGGACCTCCGATTGCGTCTTAACCTCTTTTGTCTCTCAAGATAGATGACCACTCCCAGGAGGAAGCAGGTGACCAGGAAGAGCACCATTCCTGCAATGGCTAGAACAATGACTGTGGCCTCTATCTGCCCTTGAGCCAACTTAGCTCCAAAAAGCATGATCTTCTGGGACTCATCCTTATCCTCAGGTGGCAACTCTGAGAGACAAACAAAAAGATAGTTCCAGTGAGAGCCAGAAATACCACAACAGAAAGGTTCCAATAAATATAAAAAAGGAGCAAAAGAAAGACCCAACACAATCAAAGCAAGTCAAAGCAGACCCAGTCGCCATCCATCTAACAGACCCTCATCCCTGAGGTCACACAGAAATTTGAGAATGAATGGTTCTTTCCCTAATCCACTCCATCCCAGGACCTCACCGTGTTTCACGGCTATTCAGCCCAATCAGCTAACCATTGCTGTCCCCACTCACGAGGGAGGTGATCTGAGCTTGTGTGGGCAGTCAGTGGCTGGGCTAGGAACAGAAGAATGGAGATCAGAACGTGCATCCAGACCGGGGCTGCTACAAGTTCCTCACCCTGCTCCAAGCTCCCCATGCACATGGCTGTTGTCCTAACCACCACTTTTCAGAGTGCACTTGCTCAGTTGTGCAAGTGGTGGTGAGTCACTTAAGATCCTGAGCTCTCTTATGCTTCCACGCAGAGGCAGCAGCAACCTTTTGAGAAAAGTGGCTATTTGCACAGGTAACAGCTGTTGATCAAGGTTTTTGCCTGGTGAGCATACACAGGCTGATGCCTGAGTATGGTATAAAACCAAATTATTTAATATTGTCAGTATCGCTCTGACATTTCCTACTCCTCTTCTTTACACCCATTTTGAGTGAGGAAAACATTGTTGGGAAGGAAATGACTGCAATATCAGTATAGAAAGAATGAAAAGTTGTAGGTAGATGGCTGTATTTTTCAGCTGGTCTGAGTTGGCTCTGAAATCAGCCTAGCTGGATTTATTCACAGCAGCTGAAAAAGGGAGTTGTGGAGAAAGATGAAAAATTAGGGAAATAAGCCACCACCATAAACTATTCAGACTTTTACCCCAGAAAATTTTAAAGGGATCTTATCTACTACTCCCCTTCTCCCTGGTGCTGCTCAACCAAATGTCTTCTCACATCCATTCTTTAAAATACCTGAAAGACCCAGGGCACGTGCTCAGGCTCTTTTCTTGGGGGAAGAACAGACCATAAGGCAGATGTGCTTGTTTGCATGCTGACTTGCTCCCTTCAGCTAGTAATGGTGAATGTGAAAATTCCCTAAACCACATAGTCACTGACAGCCCAAGAAGGAAGGACAACTGATCTAAGGCGCCCCTTGGGTTTTGATTGTAAGGGATAAGAAAAATCATCTCCTTTGCAATACCCTCCTTTAAAACCCTTTGAACCTCTGCCAGTTTCTAAGCATGCACTCTCCTCTGAAGATGAATCCATACATAGCAAGTACAACAGGATGAGAGGCCACTAAGTTTTTTCACCTAACATAGTCAAACAAGCCTAACAAGCCCAACTTCCTTATTTTTATCATCAGAGCACAGACATTTGGAGGACAGATAAACAGGAACCCTCCCTGTTATCCATCGGCAGCCAGGCCTGAGACTAACATGCTGGCCAGCCTGACAGAGGAGAGGCTGTAGGTGGTGTTTGTGCTCCTCCCTCTCCTCGTATAGATCTAAATCTCTGTACTGATCAGAGATCTCCCTTCCTCCTCCGCCTCACACACACAGACAGTATTTAGCAGTGCAACATACACCGTACCTGCATGGTAGTTTACGATTTCAAGCTCTGACTCTGAAAGGAAACAAAAAGAGGGTGAGAAAGTGTTGGGCTGAACAGGTAGAAAGTCCAGAACACAGCACATCTGGCAAGGATCGGATCCAGGGGCAGCATGGTTTTCCACGGCTTGCAGGTTTTCTATTCTCCTGTCAATGTTTTCCCTCTCTGCATCACACCAGGAATGTTTCTTTATTACATGCTTCAAGAGCAGACCCACTCCTGCTGCACAACCCTTTACAGCTTTTGAAAGAAAAGCACAATCAAAATCTCTGAGAATGTGGTGGGCTGACCCCAGCTGGCAGGGTCGCTCGCTCACCCCCCATCGGCATGGGGGAGGGAATTGGAAGGGCAAAAGTGGGAAAAAGAACTTGTGGGTTGAGATAACGACAATTTAATAATTGAAGGGAAAAAAAAACCAACAACAAAAAAACCCCAAGTGATGCAAAAGCAATCACTCACCACCAGTACACTGATGCCCAGCCAGTCCCTGAGCAATGGCTACTTTGGAAAAACTCCCCCCCATTTCTATTGCTGAGCATGATGTTATATGGCATGGAATATCCCCTGGTCAATTTGGGTCAGCTGTCCCAGCTGTGTCCCTTCCCCACCTCTTGTCCACCCCAACCTACTGAGTGAGAAACAGAGAAGACCTTGACACTGTGCAAGTACTGTTCAGCAATAGCTAAAACATTGGTGCGTTATCAACTCTGTTTTGGTAACAAATCTAAAACACAGCACCGTATGGGCTGCTATGAAGAAAACTAATTCCATCGCAGCCAAACTCAGTACAGAGTGTAACTCACCTTTGAGCACCTTCCAGTGTTTTCTGGTGAAATGAGAAGCCTTAGGATGTGCATTTAGATTACAGGTAATATTCTTAAGTAAGAACAATTACGAGCTGATGGCTGAATATTGCTTCTCAGACACAAGCTAAAATAAAACTCAATAATAACATAGGCAATGTAAACCCCAGAAACTAATTTGTTATTAATTCCAGCTGCAGGTATTACCATATTCAAAGGAAACATCTTAAATTAATAATACTTAAGTAATTATCTGGTCAATTAACTGGCTGTTTATGGTATGTAAAAGAGCTGTAAGTGTGATGCAAATACTCAGAGTTTAGCAGCAGTAGTAGGAAGTGCTGTTAGATGTTTTACAGTAACAATCAGTGATAGCTTCCTACCTGGTCTGGGCAAGACTGTGAAGAGTATCTCCATACCAGCATGAATATGATCAGACACATGACAGTGAAGCAGCCATGTCCCAGGGTTTCCAACCAACATCTCCACCATTTCAAAGGTCCCAGGGAACAGATCCACAACATCTGCTCTGTAGCTTTTGCCATTCTGTCAAAGGGAAGGGAGGCTGTCAGCATTCAGTGTTCTGTGCATCTTTTCAGAAAGAAGATTCTGTCAGTGTCACTGGAGACCACTTCAGTGCTACTACAGTTTTAAAAGCGAAAAAAAAGATTTAAAAAAAGCAGCTCCAGGGCTGTAGCTGGGAAAGCAAACACAATCTGGTAATGCCTAAGAAGGGTTAAGCTAGACATATCAGCACATTACAGAGGCTCAGTGAGTCAGATTTGGATGTGTAAAATCACATCCCTTTCCTAGTTGGGTGAAGCTGCTGTGAAGTCATTCAAGAAGTTCAAGTCCAGAGTCAAGCAAAAGCGATGATATCAGCGGTCAGTCTCTGCTTTCTCATCAGCAGGATATTCTTACCTTGTATATGAAGGTCTCAGCATGAAAATGGACTGTGTGGACGTCAATCTCCTGACCCATTCCCAGCAGGTACCAGTTCACCCACTCCCCCTGGAACATGGTCAGCCCAGGCAAGTTTGCATAGAGCCTCCCATTGATTGCTGTGCAGTAAATAACATACAGAGAGAGTAGAAAAGGCTGTTATTGAAACAGTAAAGATGCTGAACCATCTCAGAGGAAGAACGTGCAAGGCAAGTTAGATGCTACAAAGCTCATATAGCAACCAGTGCATCAGCAGTTAGTGTCTTCCATATGACAGTCCCCCAAAAGTTTGGCAGTCTCTCTCCAGCTCAACTACTTATCCACTCTGTTAACAGATAGGGAAAGTAAAGTGACTTGCATCCAAGGGCATGCAGTAGCTTAGCTCAAATCTCAAGCTACTTCCTGCTGAAAACCTGCAGTCAGCCAGCCAGGTTGTTTCTAGAAGTCAAGATGTGTAAAAATGGCCTTCTTAGCCCAATGATGGGGAAATATGTATATAACTATATACACATAAATCTCTGAACAATTTACTTGCTGAACAATGAAAACAGGTAAATCCTGCCAATAGGCAACCCTGTCATTCTCAGGGTATCATGCTGGCTGTACACATTACATGCCAATCACTTGTAAAATCACTACGTGGCAGGACTTTATTTCATAATTAGCACAGCAAGAAGGAATACTGCTTTGACTGCAAATGCAGGAAGGGGACCTCAACTGAGTGAGCTGAATGCGATGGCACACACATGGAAACTTTCATGCTCAGATGATAACAGAGGGAATAAGATGGAAAGAGACATGATCCGAGGGCAGGAACACCGGTGTTTTACTCTCAGATCTGCCATAGGCACTTTCTGTAGCCCAAAACAAGCATCCAACTTCAGTGCATTTGTTTCACTAGCTGTAATATTGGGTTAACAATTATAACAATGGACATGTATATTTGGAGATTATATCACCTGTACAAAACCAGTAGTAAGGATAGTACACATAACACAACTCTTTACTATTCTTATCTCCACAACTGCCAAGGGACTTGTTCTGCTGAGAATACTTTAGATAGATCCAGATATAATATGGAGAAAAACTCATAAATAACGTGTTAATTTAAGAAAAATGTGTTCATCCTACTATGGTAGAAATAGCTTTTTGGTAATCAGCTAAAACAACTGAGCCATGTATTGCAGCCACATAGTTCGGTCAATTAATTTGAAATCTAACATATTCTAATGGTCCTGAGATGAACAGAATGAAATTAGTCCAACATGTTAATTTCACATTTGATTTTATTTCCTGTCCCGAGTCACTCAGACACATCAGAGATTAACCTCTCTGGCCCATATCTTGCTATTCCTCCTGACAGGGACAGCCGTAACGATTAGACTTCATTGTAGATCAAAGATTTCTGCCATATATGTGCTGCAATATTGAGAACAGCAGACAGTTTAATTCTGTTCATGCCACTGACAACGGAAAAGGATGAGGGCATTCACTAGGAGTCAGGCTCTTGGTTTTTGGGTGGCTGACTACTTAGAGGTTGCAGAATCAACATCAACTTTGCGTAGATAGTAATGGGTGCTCAGGTGCCTAACAGGCATTACCATGCATTTTGTTGCTTTCCACAAATTTGTCATCCAGCAGGTTGATCTCCTTGTTATTCCCCTTACTGTAACGTTCCACATTCTCCTCCAAGTACCAGGACTGATTTTCATCAAAAACCAGGAACAGAAGAGCAAACTCCCTCTTTACATCCTTCCTGATCCCATCAGACTGCAGTGCCCCTCTCCGGCAGATCTTTAGGGGTCCAATCAGACCGCTGTACATATCCTAATCAGAATGAAGGAGAAAAACCTCTCAGGCAAGGATCTTCTCACCCTCTTTTGTATGCAGTTCTTTGCCTTTCAGCAACTATATTTTTTGTTCCCTGCATCACCCCACTTAAAACAAACGGTGCTACTAAGTACTCTCATTGGTGAAAATCAGCTACCAAAGCACAAGAACAGAGACTATGCACGCTCTTACGAATGCAAATCCAAAAGTCATAAATATGAATGGTATCAAAATATTCTCCACTCTGTGGCTGCAAAAACGTCTGCAACTTGAGATAAAAAGGCAATGATCTCTGGGTTGAATGTGATGATTTATTGCAGGATCCTCCAGGTTGTTTCCCTGTGAAATCAGCGCTATGACAACTGATCCTAGCAATGTTCAAATCTTCCTGCTTTATCCATGAGGCCTAGTTTTGGACAATTTCTGTCTTTCCTGATTAACCCTATGGCTCTCACTAATAGAAACCATGACTTACTGGCAGATGTTCTCATATCCTGCAAATAACTGAAGGAAGGTTAGTGTCAAGGAGACAGTGGAATTGTTTTATGAAGGTTTGTGTTAGGGAAAAATAAGTACAAACATCAGGACAAATTTGGAGGATTTCTTCTCCCCAGGAGAGCACTGGACATGTCACCAGGTGGTTCTTCTACCTCACAGCCATGTCAATCTCTAAATTGTATCCAGCTCACATTGTTTTCTAGAGGGGGTGAAAAATTGGTCTAACTCGGCTTTTCTGGTTCTAACTTCTATTTTACCTTTACTGGGTCCACCATGGAGTAGTAGATCCAAGGAACACAGGCTGAATCATTTGGCCCTGGACCAGATCTCTCGGGAACTTCCCATCGGTATGTCACAATGTCACCTGAGTGACAGAGAAGCACCATTAACACCAGTGCGATACACTCACCAGTTTGCTGAGCAGCATGCAAAGCAAAACAAAAAAAAGAAGATCCTGTCTCCAAAGTGCAAATTCAATTCTGATTTTGTTGGACATTGCATCTTCCTTCCCCAAACACTGAAAAGCAGGATGGAAGCTCCTGTCTCACAAGCAAAGCAGAGGGGTCACGGGATGCACACACTATCTGGTATCAGCACAACTCTTATCTGCCGTCTTTGAGACTGGACCTGACCAAGGAAATTCCACCTCTCTTCAGTACAGATGGAGCTTGAGATGATCTTTCATCTCTTTGAAGTACATTTATGATGCTCATTCAAATTCATTTTTAAAATTACTATTTTGCATATTAGCAATACATTTCAGAAAGGCGGGGCCTGACTGAAAACCTGTTTGTTGTTTAGACACCCTGCGCAAGTTGAAGGGGACCAAAAATTATACAAATCAGCATCTGGACCGTGAAACAAACTGGTGATTTCAGTCAGCGTCCTGGCAAGCAATTGAGCATTTCTCCTATTTCATACTATTTTCATACTATTGCGCACATCACAAAAAGTATAGGTCCCAAAGAAGAGGGGCAGGCTTCCCTCATCATGGGCCATCAGCCCAGGGCTACCAAGGACTGACTGAGCTGTGAACTGCCATCATCTTTCTCCTTCCTACAGACAGACCACACTCAGTGGGGGGGATAAGGCTGCACACAGAACAGTTTGTGCTACGCTTAACCCAGAAGTCAGCAGAATATGAACTCCCAGGGCTGCCATTCCCACACAAGTGGTATCACTAAAACCACGGTGAACCTGAAAGACCAGTTATTGTTCGGTTCCAGTTCTCTACCGTAAGAAAACAAGTACATCCAAGCCTACTTAAGGAAACCAGTCTAGCTATAGGCTAAAATTGACTTCGTAAGCCCACATAGGAATATGGCTGGAGACCAGTGACTCACCAGGGTTTGCTACTTGCAGCTGTCCTGTCTCCCTTTCCAGCACCCCGTGTGCATGAATGGAGTAGGGTCGTGTGGCATTGTTCTTAAACACGATGTTGAGAATATCTCCCACTTCCGCCCACAGAAAAGGACCTTGAGATAGGAAGAATGTACTCTGAGACTAGCAAAAACTGTCAGGGTTTCTCCTAAGGATATTCTCATCTCTCCCTCATCATCTTCTCTTTTTGGGAGGTAGAGATAAGGTAGAGAAGAGGGAGGGGAACATCATAAGTATTGTAAGGGAATATGTCTGGGGAGAATTGGAGGTCAGTCCCAATTCAAGTAAGTCTTAGAAAACCAGACTGAGTTTCACAATGAGGGAAGTGAAGGTTGTTACACATTTTAACTGTGCCCAGTACAACTAAGGCTTGATTTCTGAATACTGCTATGCTAAATTTCACAGCATCTTGATCATGCCTTGCTGCTGGTTTCAAAAAATGTGGTAATATTCAATTCGGCCTGACAGTGTCACAAATCAGAGCTGCAGCCTATTTTGAACAGCATATACTGCCTCAGCCTTGCTGCTCTGGCACCACTTATAGTCCTGGGTTCATAACAGAGCTGTGTCTCCATGGACTTCCATTGGGCATTGTAATGTGCTCCTCCACCTCCCAAGGCCTGGCTGCTTTTGCCCCAAAAGCATTTCTCTCACAGCTACAGATTTTCATCTTCATCTCTAAGACTGCTCTCTAGAAGTCAGCAGTTATTTTTGTTCCACAGTCAGAGAAATGCAGGTGTGAAAAATACTTTGCCCAAGACATGAAAGAAAGTTGGCACAGAGGCAGGCACAAGAACCCAGTCTTCTCTACTACAAGCTGTGTTCAGGACCCTCTTTCTCCAAAGCTGGCAGACCTGGATAGGAGACAGTCTGAGTTTCTCCTCACATGCATACACAGCAGATGCCTAAATATCTAGGAGGCCTTCAGATTACAGCCCTTAGCCACTGAAGCTCTAGACTCCAAGTCCCATCGCTGTGTGAGTGGAAGATGTACCCTCTGCACATATTCTTACCTAGTATCCCTAGGTGTTCGTCACCATTTATCCTGGCTTTGGGAGTCTGGAAAGTCCCATCGGTGTACTCCCTGTAAACTGCTTTCTTGTACCTGGAGCCAAGCAGTCCATTCTCGTTGCTCAAAAATACATCAGCGTAGCTGAGAAATGCAGAATGAGTGCTGAGATACCCAAAAGCTCACAGGGAATAAACAGTTAACTTGTGGCAGAGGGTTCACTAATTGAATGGGTTTCCCAGAGACCTGCTTTGGCTGCAAAGGTGGGCGCAGTGACGTGGAAGGCTGTGGCTCCCATCAGCAGCACCACCAGTGGTGGCATATGCACCATATTGCAAGATGGCCAAGATACCTAACAGACTTCACGAAGGTCTACTGAGAAACTTTGCCAAAGGCTCCCCCAGAAGAAGGGCTCTACCTCTCCGCAGAATGGTTGTGCCGTTCCCTCTCCCAGCTTCGATCAGGCGCGTAGTCCCACACCACCTCCTCTGCCACGATGTAGTATGTCCGCACCCCCTTGTAGTGAAGGGCAGGAGCAGGATCCCTTTTTCCACACTTGGAAACGGAGTAATGTTCCCTCATCCCAGCCTGATAGTGGTTACTCGTCTGGCAGTAGATCTCAAAAGTCCCTGAGGGAGGCAGCACAAACAAGGAAATCAGCTACTTTTAAAGATCCCAGGAAACAGCTGCTTCCCATGCAGAGCTTGTGACATGGCTGACATCAGTATGTGTGTTGTGTGTATCTGGGTTTTTAGGGAGCTTGGTTGCCACAGGCCGAGATTAAAAGGGGTTGTTAGAGAAACAAAGCAGGAATGGCACAAAGTCCTACATAAAAATCATCTCAGGAGGCTTTCCTTACACAATAACCAGCTTATTAGATGTGAAGAAACCAATAAAGTGACATAACTGTGCTATCACTGCTGAGACACTGGTTAAGTAAAAGGTCTGCGAATGCCAAAAGGGGAGGAGACAACTGGCAGCTGAGGCCATCACATTGCGTGAATGAGACACAGTATTGCGTGCCTATCCTGCAAACTGGGAAGACTGGGGTCTGTCATAAATGTGAATCTCCACAAGCCATGGACAGGGGAGTTAAGCTCTGGCAACTGTCTGCTACTTTATTCTGAAAGACATGTCTGCATGTTTCTATGGGTCACAGGCAATGTCCATCGGGGCTGTTACTACAAATATTTAATAGGAAGTGGCAGCCTAGAGAATCAGTCTGGGACAATATGGGACAAGATCCTGTATCTCCTGTTCTTCTCCAGAATCAAATGCAAAGACAGGAGCTGTGGCCTTGTAAATGGGACCAAACAGGACCTAAAGAACAGCTCACCCTGTAAGAGTTTACACAGTGCGAAAGAATCAGCCACAGAAGCAAATACTACAACAGGAGACCTTTCCTGCTGCTAAGTTATATGTGCAGGCACTTACCCTTGTTATCAGGTTGCATGAAGGCGGTAGCAAACGTGTGGGGGAACAGATTGGTTGAATCTCTCCGCATCCCATTCACCTGCAGGGTGTTCCCCTGAAACACAGCTCCATGTACATCTGCTTCACTACCCAAGCCCAGAAGGTGCCAGGACACATTGTCTCCTTCACACACATTCAGCCCAGGCAAGTTACCAAACATAAATCCATTGATGGCTGCAAAGGAGAAAACAATTAACTCTCTGCAGGTAGGTATCGGCCAAGAGATTCATTTTGTGCATACACTTTGACAGGGCAGGCCTGCCAGTGGAAATGTAGCTTGCTTGTAATTCACCCCTGAATATGCTCAGGACATGCTTCTTGAGACAGCTGTGCTTCTTGTCCCATGTCCTACCCACTGCCTCTAGCCTCACTTGATTTCAGGCCAATACAATACAGGCACTCCAGCTTTCCAGCTCAGTCTTTAGGTGAACACTGCCCCATTTTTTGCAGGTTCATTCCCGCTGCATGCAGAACAGCATCAGGCCATACCATGCATCCTGTTTGACTCCTTGAAGCCATCATCCTTCTTCACAGAAGTCTCTTCCATCCTCAAATAGTACTTTATGTTTGCATTTAAATACCAGCTGAGGTTCTCATCAAACACACTGAAGAGAAGGTAAAATTCTTTGTCGATCCCTTTCTAAGATATAATCATAATGATGGCTGTTAATTTTTGAAATGCACCAATTAACTATCCTTACAGTTAAAGCTGTTTTGCCTGGCTCTCATGTTCCCCTTTATCTTAAAACTTGGCTCATTGAGGGCCAGGGCTCTGTCCCTTTACTCATGTTGAATGTTCTTCTTTCGTTCCATGAGAGGCACCATTTGTGAATTTTCCATGATATTTCACATGAGTAAAGTGAACAAAATTCAGCCAAGGATATGAAGCCATTGCCTCCTTCCCCCACCATCCCTACGTTTGGGTGTAGGTTTCACCACCTGTCCAAATCAGACCCGAGATCAGAGCCCAGTCCACAAGGCAGGCTGATGACTATGTTCCACCCCTTCTTTCTCCTACCACAGGCCTGGATTGGGGATTTTTTTTTACTACCCTAAAGCCTTGAAAAATGTTAATTCTAAGAAATGCATTCCAAAGCATGGTGTGTTTCCCCACTAAAAGAACATCCCCATTGCTGTCCAGATTCTTATTCCGATATCATCTTCCTCAGCTGTACCCAGGAAGACACCCTGCAGAGAGGCCTAAGCGATTCCCAGTCTGCGGCACATGGGTGCATGAGGAGTGGCCACACGAGGAGTGGCCGCACGAGGAGTGGCCGTGCACCTTTCCCAATTAAGCATTCATTAAAGGGTTGCCTAAGATTGTGGAGCCAGGATTGCTGCCCCAGGTGATTTTTCCCTGTCCTACCTTTCCAAACAAGTCTGTTTTGTTTACACCCTTTCAGTACCTGCAGATGTTTTATCATTATCACAGCTCCTTCACATAGTGGGCTGCATATAATCACGATCCCCTCTGTGAGATGTCACATTTCCACCCTGTGTACCATGCTGATCTCTTCTGCACTCCTAATTTAGCCACATTGTGCCACCACTGAAAGCAGACAGAAAGCAAACTCCTCTAGGGAGGCTCTCATGGCAGCTGTTTATGTTCCACCCCTTCTTTCTCCTACCACAGGCCTGGATTGGGGATTTTTTTTTACTACCCTAAAGCCTTGAAAAATGTTAATTCTAAGAAATGCATTCCAAAGCATGGTGTGTTTCCCCACTAAAAGAACATCCCCATTGCTGTCCAGATTCTTATTCCGATATCATCTTCCTCAGCTGTACCCAGGAAGACACCCTGCAGAGAGGCCTAAGCGATTCCCAGTCTGCGGCACATGGGTGCATGAGGAGTGGCCACACGAGGAGTGGCCGCACGAGGAGTGGCCGTGCACCTTTCCCAATTAAGCATTCATTAAAGGGTTGCCTAAGATTGTGGAGCCAGGATTGCTGCCCCAGGTGATTTTTCCCTGTCCTACCTTTCCAAACAAGTCTGTTTTGTTTACACCCTTTCAGTACCTGCAGATGTTTTATCATTATCACAGCTCCTTCACATAGGGCTGCATATAATCACGATCCCCTCTGTGAGATGTCACATTTCCACCCTGTTACCATGCTGGATCTCTTCTGCACTCCTAATTTAGCCACATTGTGCCACCACTGAAAGCAGACAGAAAGCAAACTCCTCTAGGGAGGCTCTCATGGCAGCTGTTTTCAGGCTCGCCAGCCACTCCCTGATCTACACCGCAAAGTAGGCAGGATGGCACTAGGTTGTTTTTCTGCCGCCTACTGTTTTTCACGATAAGGCTCTGCTAATCTGTCTTGCAGTTCTCCAGTATATTAATTTCCTGCCATGTAGGCTATCCCTGAGTGAAATACCAAGAGTAAGTTCTGGTTGCCCTTCAGATTTCACCTCTCTTTCATCAAAAGTATAAAGACTGACATGGATTTTCACATGTTTTTTTGTAGTCAGCGCAAACCCCTCTAGGGAGGCTCTCATGGCAGCTTTTTTCAGGCTCGCCAGCCACTCCCTGATCTACACCGCAAAGTAGGCAGGATGGCACTAGGTTGTTTTTCTGCCGCCTACTGTTTTTCACGATAAGGCTCTGCTAATCTGTCTTGCAGTTCTCCAGTATATTAATTTCCTGCCATGTAGGCTATCCCTGAGTGAAATACCAAGAGTAAGTTCTGGTTGCCCTTCAGATTTCACCTCTCTTTCATCAAAAGTATAAAGACTGACATGGATTTTCACATGTTTTTTTGTAGTCAGCTCTGCTTGAAAATGAACTGATCTTGCAGAAGAAATGCAGTTCACCCAAACTTCAAAGCGTTATATCATTCAAGCAAACCACCTGTAAGTAAGTGAAAATGTCTTTTCAACGTTTGAGACTGCAATGAATATTCCACATGCTGCTGAAAGCAGCCGGCTACGCAAGTCTCAGGACAAAAGTTACCTATAAAGTCACATCCAAGGTACACTAGTTCAGCCAAGTTTGTCTATGAGTTTTAAAGCAGAGCTCAGAAACCATTTCAAGGACAGTCCTTGGGAGCCCAGAACACTAGCCATTCCCACCTGAGACATGGGCACCAGCTGTCCCAATGTTAACCTGCCTCATGGCTTTGATTCAAGTCCCCTGGACTCAGACTATCATACGTTTGTTTTTATTATGTTCCCTAATGTTTTGCTGATGCTTCTTTCTCTACAAGAAAACAAAGAACCTAGTAAGAGCACGGCAGGAAAAGCCTTTTACCTGTTTGTTGTTGTCATCCAAAGTGCCTGGCTTGCAGATGACCAGAGGCCCTACTAAACCTGAACTGGGGTCTTTGATGGGATTCACAGCTGAGCTGTACATCCAGGTCAGGCAGGGAGGGTCGCTGGACATGGGCCCAACGTGCTTTGGCACAGTCCAGCGGTACGTAAAGTTGTGCAGCGGCGCAACAGAAACCCCATTCTGGGACAGACCTTTAAAACAGAGATTGGCATGGTTATTCCCAAGGTCCCTGTACAAACTTGGTTACATCTTCTCACCAGCCTACATTCATACTGGGCTTTACTTCATTCATGTCACTAAAATACCCGGCATCTCTGAGGTGCGATGTGGGCGTGTTTAAGGCACACAGGGAGCTGCTCTCAGTACCACGCACATTCCCGCTGGTGCCACGGCAGATTTGGGCATGGTGACAGGAAATAACAAAGCGGATCCCGCTACGTCTGGGGAGACGAATGTTGGAAGCATCTGGTTATCTAAGCTGGAGTGCACTGGGCACACTCCTCTACTCATGGGGTCTCAAACAGGTAGAAATGGTCTGAGCTTTAGTTTACAATTTTCATCTGAAAAATAGCACCTCTGGAACCATACTCCCTCTGGCACCCTCGCTGGGCACCAGTTCAGTGGAAAGTCTCCTTCAGCAAGGCCTCAGGCAGGCTCAGAGGACCAGGCTGGCTTCTACCCAGTTCCTGAGCACATCCAGTCCTTCCCGGCTGCAGAAATTCCCCAGCACAGAGGAGGTATGGGCTGTGGAGCTCCACCACCAGCATTAGCATTGAATTACTTGAGAAAAGGGAGCCACAAACCATCATGATACCACATCCCTTCCCACGCCTTCCCATAGGACACTCCGTGAGGCTGGATGCTGAAAGGCCAGGAGGCTTTGTTAACAAACGTCACGAGGATGGTGTCTCCAACTTCAGCTTTGATCACTGGACCTACACAAATAGCAGAGAGAGCATGTCAGCAACAGAGCAACTTCCCAGGTGACCAGGCAAACAAAAGAAGCCAGGGCCACCTTTCACCCAGGCTGAGGGGAGCAGAAGACACAGAATAAAGGTGGACGCCCCTGCATGTCAGCACAGCCTAAGGCCATTCAGCCCTGACAGCAGGAACAGGGGGCTGACAAGAATTATCTGAAAACATTTCAGGTCTGCAGAAGAACTCAGAGAAGATGCTTTAGGCCTTCACAGATGGAGTAACAAAATGGACAAATGTGCCGAAATGCCCTCGGGAAAGGCCCGTGTCTCCCACCCACCTACCTAAGGCCCTCTCAGCCTTCCAAGACAGGTGCCTCAGGCCTGAGGTCTGGTGTGTAGAGAGGTGCGAGATGCTCTAAGCCCACCACTGTCTCTGTGAACCATAGCCCCAGCCAGCTAGAAAGAAACCATGAGTCTTTAATATGCCTATCGGTTCCCACCAGCCTGCAGACCCCTGGGTCCACAGACCAATCCTGACAGCTGCAGGAGGGCATGAGGAAAGCCAGGCTGCTGACCAGAAAAACTGGCAGAGACCCATGCCTCAATGTGCCTATCTCGATGTGCCTCCATGTGCTCGGGTCCTCCAGCAGAGGACGTCTGAAAGCCACGGGTAACCGTGGCCTCCCCAGGCCCTGCTCTGTGCCCCAGCAACTGCTGCCTTGGGGCTCAACATCTCCTTTGGGTGGCACCCCGATTCCTCAGAGGAACCCCAAGCCGAGCCCTTTGTAAACACACCACTCGCCTTCCTGATGTGTGAGAGGGCTCGTCTCAGGCCTGGAGCTGTGTCCCTCTCCCCTCCATCAATTAAGACTTAGGGTTGGACTGCTCCTTGCAGTTCAGAGGGAACTCGTTAGCATGCTGGTCCACAACAGGGTAATCCCACTGCAACTCTTCCACCGATGAGGCTCCCTCTTCCTCTTCCCCTTCCCCACCCCTCCGCTACAAGATGGCCCAGACTCCATCCCCACTGCTCATTAAATGTCTCAGGCAACTGATGTAGGCCATAAAACCAACAGACTCGGTACAAAAAGCAAGCAACCTGCTGTGTGGTTAGCGACCTGGATAGGCTATCTGCAGTGTCTGGTAAGCACACAGGACTTTGGGCAGCACCACAGCCAGCCGCTGCGAGGGAAAACATGTGGAGGGCAGCAGGAGCAAGCTGCAGGGTGAGGAACTGCCAGGTGCCCACAGCTGGTGTGCCTAACAGCCCTAAGAAGAAAAACAACAGCGCTAACAACCAACCACCCAGCCTTCCCCACAGCACAGCTTTGTGTACTTTAGGGCAAGAACAGGCAGCATAAGCCACCGGCGCATGCTCATGCAGCATGGGTTGTCTGCACGCACCACATCACATTCAGCAGCTCCCTGTTCTGGACCTTGGTCCCTCATGGCCCCATATCTCTTCTAGACATCCCAGCTACTTTATTGAGTCAGCTTTAATTAGACAGTTCAATGAGTTCATGTCACTCCCCCCACAGATGTCACTTGTTTTCTGACTGGAGATTTTCATCAATTAATCCTTCAGTGTTTCTAGTTTACCAGTAGAAAATACCTGTAATTTCTTTCTACAAAGTCATATCCGAGTTTTCCCTCAGTCTTTCTATAGGAATGTGGCTGTTGCTGGTAATGCTAACCCTTTTTTTCACCCTGGTTCCCAAGGTCCAGCAAGATGCTGTCAGCTCCTGACAGTTACACTGCATCTCTCCTATGCGTAACTCCACCATTTAACTTTTATTCAGCTGCTTATACTTCTTTTTTGCCTCTCTTCACTATTCTCCTCCCCCCTTCCAATCTGTATTTTACTCCATGTGCTCTTTCCCTCTGTGGCCTCTGCTGGGATTGCTGTTGCTGATTTCTGGTGTCACTAGATTATTAGTCACTGCTGATGCAGGAAATTGGACCACACCTATATGCTTCTATCACATATGTCACAGCTTTCACACACAATTCATTTGCCTCTGCAGAGTGCCTATTTTCTTGTCTCATCTTTCTTCACCAGCGTCACTGTTACCTGGCTATAACAGAGAGAGCACCCACTCGGAAGAGGAAGCTTTCTGTGAGAAAGTGGGGTTTGTAGCATGTCTTGAAGATGCTCAGTCAAAAACACATAACCGGGGGCTATTACTGTGACCTGTTTAGCTCCAGTTACAAATACTATACTGTGTCCCTCAGCCCTTACTACTAACCTCTGAAGACTGCCCCAGCAGAATAGTGATTCTGTCTATTCTACCATTCCACCTCCTAGGTCCATCCCCCTCACTCTTAGATGTAACTGCTGTGAAACACCTCCTCTGTGCCGCTCACTGCGCCACAAAACAAGAGGACAGTTACAGCCAGCTGGTACTCCCGACATCAGCATTGTTCTCACTGGCACTGAAAGAGGATTTGTGTTGCTGGATGATTCCTACCGAGTATCCCCAGGTGTTTCTCTTCTTCTGATTGCTGCTTTTCCTCACGGAAGCTCTCATCAGTATATTCCACATACTTTGCCTTCCAATAGACTCCCCCAATTCGGTAGGGGCTACGCTTGAAAAACTGCTCAGCAGGGCTAAATGCAAAAAGTAAATGTCAGGTCATTTCTATGAAAAAATCAGTCCTGTTCTTCTCCTGCTCCCTCCCCACACCCCTCTGGCAATGCCAGCAGCATCTCCAAATCGAGCAGCTTTTCAGACAAGAACAGCATTTCTGGTTTGGAACAAGCACAGCTTGTCTCTGTGAAACTTTTTCATCCTACAGACTCATCTACCCGCTGTGTTCAGGGAGCACCTCTGGCACGCAGCCCTCTCCCAGCTGAAACAGCCGGGTTCGATGGCACAGGTCTAAACAGCATCTCTATACAAGGTGCGCAAAAGAAGGCAGTGAACAAAACTGCAGTGCAGTAAATGGAAAGGCAGTGCTAAAACACTGAGTTCTTCAGAGGCCAGGGGACAACTGCAATCATAACTGAAAAAATCCTCATGCAACAGTTGTAAAGAGAGATTTATTTCCTCCGCCACCACCCTCTCCAAACACACAGACAGACAGAACATGCCTTGCAGGAGAGGCAGCTTAGTTACAAGGCCAGCTCACAGGTCTAAGGAGCTTTCAGTTCTAAGGTCTGCAAGAGAGTTGCTGCATGGCTTTGGGTAAATCATTAACTGCTCCACATTTCTACTTCTCCATCTGAAAGAGGTGTATCTTCTCCAACAGCTTCCCAGGGAAGAGAATGGAGGGGAAGGCATGTCTTTGTTTCTGTTAGCCAAAGTCCGAATGGGAAACCACTCACCAACTGCTATCACAACCATCTGACACGTGAGATGGAAGGCTGTCATCAAGGTCACTGCATTTGATTTCCTAGAAACTGCTTGCTGCAGCAAGGCTACACTGAAGTGTATCTGCAGGCTAGCTCTGCCACCCTGTGTCTGCTGTAAGGTGTGCTTTCTTAATAGTTCATCAAATATACAGATCTGTTCCTAGGTCAGCCACAGCAAGCAGAAATGAAGCCCAGAGACAAATGTGGCAGCTCACGTTCTACATAAGCTGGGACTCCTGGAGTCTGTGGGTAAGGCTATGAACCTAGTACTGCTCTCAGTACAGTCTAGCTACAGCAGCCTACATTTCCAGATGGGGTGATCTGCCTTCCCAGGAAATTTACTCCACATGAATTGCAGGCATGTATTTTGATAAGAAAGAAATTCCACATCCTCCTTAGCAGCCTCCCCGACACAGACCAGAGACTCCCAAACACTGCCCTAGCCCACCAGCCTCTTGCTTACCTGCCTGCCTCACTCAGCCGTTTCCCACTGCTTTGGTCGAGCCCTGAAGGTGCGTAGTCCCACTGCACTTCCTTTGCAGCTATGTAGTATTTCCGAACTGTCCCTTCCAGGGTGGATGCCGGAGCTTGCAGAGAACAGGGCCGGACTTCATAGAGTGCCCCCATCCCAGCTGTCCAAGACATGGTGGAAGACACGCATGCTTAACCCCTCTCAGCCAGTTTGACCAGGCAATGAACACAATCCCATGTTCCTACCACGAACTGGCCATTCCTCCTCTGTTGTCCCAAACAGCACATGGCTGGGAGAAGGTGATTCGGTGGTTCCCACAGCAAGGAGTTTTTTGTGTTAGTGAGCAGAGCTTCTTACCTTAGATATCGGATGCTATGGAAGTATGGACAGAGAGCGAATAGACCCTTCTGCTATCCTCAGATGTACCATCAAGTGCCCCTTATAGGGGCTAGACCTCTTAAGGCACTGCCTCATCTTAGCTTTCAGCTCTACCAAACTTACTGTCTTCACCACTGATCAACATGGAACATCATAGAGTGGTACAAGTCATCCCCAGTAAGTCTGGCCTGCACATTAATAATCATTCCACCCCAATTTATACAAGACAAGGAATCACCCCATTCATCTAGGGATGTTTTTAGTGGGAATGCTGCCCAAGGCACTGTCCCCTACCACACTATGTCACAGGACCACACTGGGAGGAAAAAAAGGGAGGCCACAGAGTGCAGGATATATTCCAACCTCTGCCTTACCTTGTATGTGATCATTGATCTGACAGCTCAGTAGCCATCTCCCAGGGTTACTGGGGATCATGTCCGCTGTAACAAAAGTGGCTGGGAAGAGGCTGGCCACATCTGTCCTATGGCCTCGAATATTGAGCATTTCTCCATGAAAGTAGGCTGTATGAACATCAATTTCATTGCCCATCCCAAAGAGGTGCCATGAAACGTAATCCCCAGCACACATCGTCACTTCAGGGAGGTTCCCAAACACATAACCATTAATAGCTGCAAAACCAACAAGCCAAAAATCAGAGATTAGAAAAGGGGCCTTCAGAGCTTCTGCCAGCAGGTCACAGTACAGACATGTTTGGAGGACGGACCTATCCAGAACTCATCCTCCTTTTCTTGTTCTGGAGAGCCCAGCTCCACAACTCATTCCTAAAATAAAGTGAATTCAAAATCTCCAAACAACTAACAAAGGCACATTCAAGCCAAAGATTAAATCAAAGTAACACTACTTTTTTCTGGAGTTGTTGCACCGTCCCTGTGATATTGTTTACCTAGCACATGATCTCAGAGCTTGCTGTCTCCCTTCTCCCCTCTACCCACACCCTGGCATACAACAGCAGAAAGTGCTTTTCAAGATACCAGAGCACTGACACCCCTGGAGTGTCTGGGCAGAGTCAGTGGCTTCACGAAGGTGACACTGACCATGCATTTTGTTGCTCTCTTGGAATTCCTCCTCCTCTTTGTCTACAGAGCCTGGATCTGTGCAGAACGACGCTATGTTCTCATCCAGGTACCAGCTTAGGTTCTCATCCACCACACTGAACATCAGAAAGAAATCTATGTCCACATCCTGCCGTCTTTGAGAACTGCCAGTCAGTACTCCTAGGGTGAAAAGATGAATGAATATCTACCCATGCAGAAAAGCAGACATCAGTCAAGGGATTAAAACACCAATAGAAGAGTAACTCTTATCACACAAATTAGAGACAGATGCTTTCCCCACCATCCTAGCACAGCTCATTGCAGAGTTCTAGCAAGCTCACTCTTTTCTAATATATCCCTGCTAATATGTTTCTCACTCCCAAGCAGCTCTGCCACTGCATGGCTGAACTGCAACACCTTCAGTGTTCTTACTCCTGCTGAAATCAAGCAGTCCCCCTTTTTTTTTTTTTTAAATACACAAACTAGGTCTTGGACAAGATTCCTGCTTTTAACATGGAATCAAACAGCTTTCTCAGATCAAGAGGCCTACAAGCTCACCTGCCCAGCCACTAAGGGATAAAGACAATGTAATGACCAGAACCCAGCTAGAACACGGGTACTGTCTTCTCCAGTCATGCTGCATTGTCCTGTGAAGCTGGGAGCTGCCCACCAGAGTATCTTCTCATCCTACCCTTGTTCAAGTCACCACAAAATCTTCACAGTATGAAACTGGAGCCCTCAGCTGCTTTCTCTTAAGAGTTTTTACCTTTTTTGCATGTAAGTAATGGCCCAATTAATCCAGATGCAATGTCCTTTGGTGCATCAATATGGGAGTGGTAGATCCAGGTCAAGCAGTTTGGGTCATCAGCAGTTGGGCTGTGATCTTCAGGGACAGTCCAAGTATAGGTGTAATTCCCTCCTGGGAAAACAGCATCATCCTTCTTCTGATCCTGGGGGGACATATCGGGATACAGGGATCCTAGAACAATTGAGCAATCACAACATCCATTCAAGCAGAGCAGATATGTCCACACATGTAACTTTACACTGAGCTGCTCTCACTCAGTGGAGGGCTGCACGTATGTACTTAGGTAGCAGATTTCAAAGCGAGACTCACCATCCCAAGGCTGAAATAGTGTTTAATCATCATTCTCTCAAAGAGAAACTGAGGCACAGAGCCATTGTAAGGCAACTTGCCCAGTAAATGGGTCAGCACAGAGTCAGAAAGATGATTCCCATTCTGCCTATTGCTACTTTGCCTTCAACTCTGCAATGCACCACAGTCAGCCTTCTCTACAATCTCTAGGGCTGCTTCAAATAGCAGTTCTTTGGTCTCATACTTCACCATTCTTGTGAAGTTCCTGAAGCTCATCACACTCGTGATTCTTACACTACAGCACTTCAAATAATTAATACAGCTCTTTTCCTTCTGCACCACTCTCCCACTAGCAAGCTTTGGAGGTTCTTCTAAAATCAAGAAATCTGGGCTGTGTACTGTAATGCCCAGGTCAGGAAACTACTCCCAGACCCATGAACCTGCTAACCCAACACCAGGTGACTTCATTAAACATCTAGGTGCAGTTGCTTTCCAGCAATATAGCTTTGGGCTAACAAGTCCATGGCTTTACAGACATCTCTCCTCATGGCATACTCCTAAGTTCCCAGCGAGAAAAATCTGTCTCCTTTATGGCAGTGGTTCATTTACCTTCAGAGTCCTTTTCGTAGAAAACACCGTGAGGATGGATCGTATATGGTCGACTAGCAAAATTTTTTAGGTGTACTTTAATGGTATCCCCTACTTCTGCTCGGATGATGGGCCCAAGGAAACCCAGCCAGCCAGGTTTGGGAATCTCAGTGGTGTACGTGGAGTCCGTATATTGCTTATAGACAGATTTCTTGTACGTGCTCCCCACCCTGTCTTTGCCAGGCTGGAGGAACGTTGAGGCCTTTCTGTTAAATTCAGAAAAGGGAAGGGCACCATGAGTCATGCATTATTTAAAACAGCTGGTCAATAACACAATAGAGTGACAACGACACACAGCTTTCCCAGGTAAGCCCGAAAGCTTTGGCATTACAGAGGACCACCTGTGCTCTACCCTAGCATGCTCTAAGCCATCCGTGAACTTCCTCCTCACACACCTCTAACCGCTGTGACATGGGCAGCGCAGCCTGCTTGAGAAACAGGCAGCACTGGCCGTTAGACTTGTCTGCTTTCTGAGCATGTGAAACACAACAGGGGACATCAGCACATTAACAGCTTGGTGAGCCTGGGATCACAGCCACCAGTACAGCCAGACGCCTGTCACCATACACAGCCACGGCCTCATCGCCAGTTCTTCACAAACAGACACAAAGTGCACCCCTGAACTGTGCAGTGCAAACAAGGAATGGGAAGGATGGTGCTTCTCTGACAATCACATGTGGGTGACACAGGGAAGACCAAAGCCCTTCTCATGCCTGCTTCAGCCTTCATTGGGCTTTTAGAAACTCACTTCAATGCTTTCGTAGCATTTGCAGCTAAATCATAAGCGGGGGGGGGGGGGGTTCCGTTCTGAGGT